CATAGATTCGAAACAGACACATTTCTTAATAAATAGTCAATATAATAATTAAGATATATTGATAAAATATGATTAAAAATTTAAATGATTACAAACGGTAAGTTCGATCCGTCGACATGAAAGCGACCTGAAACATCGACATATTGAGCGGGATAATATTTTCTTTTGTTACGATATAATTTGTAAAAGTTCATTATTATAACGTGCAGTTCTATTAAAATACATAAAATTAATATTTAAAAATTAGAACTTCAAATAATAAAAATATCGTTGTACGGAAATCGAGATTGTAACGCTCGTATCCTAACACACACAAACGTCTCAGAATATAAGCTCGAATGTAACTAAAATTTAACTCGAGTTTTAAATGAACTAGCTGATGTAGCTGGCTTTAGCATTAGGTTTCATCAATTCAATAGTTTTATTTGACACTTATACGTATTAATATGTGATTAATAAGTAAAACTTATTTATAAAGGTATCGTGTATTTGGTTCGTTGCTTCTGAAGAGAAGTAAAAGTTCGTAGCGACTGAAGATAACATGCCGTTGGTGTAGCGGAAAGAGGAGAAAGATATAAATAAACATTGCAATAAATATTTCGATTGCAGGAGCCAATATATGCCGGCGATATTCCGTCAAAATAATGTTACATGTGCCTTTCATCCTAAACAAATTATTCTAACTTACCATACTGTTACAATAGATATGTCTGCCAATAAAATACAATAGATGTCAGCACAAAGTTACTAAATTATTATGGAATAATTTGTAGAAAATGTGGATTGTACATGTATTTAATAGAAAAGAATGGATATTTTCGCACAAATTCGCACGACTATGCTATTCAAATTATAAATTACAATTTTACTGTAGCAATAAAATTACTGTTTAATAATATATTGCTAAAATTTTGAACAAAAAATATATATTATGTATATTACCTTATTATACTATGGTTGAAGGTAACAAGAATTTATTGATCTAAATATATATTTACATTTTAAGAGGCCACATTTAATATCTAACTCTTACGTAATCTGATATTGAGAGTATATAAAAATAAATTCTATTAGTCCATTCTAAATAATTTAAAATTATTAAAACGTATATGTAATTATGTTTGGTTATTATTTTACATGTTGATTTTTGATATCAGTCTTTTATCGACAACTATATCTTTTAGTGAAGGAATGTTATGATAAAGTTATGTACATTCTAATATTTGTGAAGTAGAAATTCTATTAAACAGTACAAAAAAAAATTAAATTCAAAACCTTTGCATAAATAAATATTGAAAATTTTATACCGAATATCGTGAAATAGGTGTTTTTAATAAAAAAATGTTTTAAAAGTAAAAAACAAAAAAAGAATTAAAAAAAAAAAATAAATAAATAAAGAAAATGACACTCTTAGATCATCTAATCTTATTATAACATGCATCCTTGAACTAAATTATATGAATAATATATATTCTGAATGGTGAGGCGAGCCGGATCGATAGTAATTTATTAAAAAAAAAAAAAACTTGTATAAAAAGTAATGAAAAATTGACTTCTATCGACTTAGATTTGGCCGTAATGTATACTAAAAGTATCATTTGCGAATACAAGGCAAATAATTGTAGATAAAGATATTTTATAAGCTCAAGGAAACTTCATTTTTATTTGTAAGAGATACCGATATCTATAAGAAAAATTATTCTTCGACAATGAATGTCATAATAACTGTTCCCGAATAAGTCAATTAATTATTGGGCAAGAATAGAAATATTGCAAAAAACTATGAATTTAAATTATTGTAAAACTAAGTTTTCAAAAATAAAATTCTGCAATTAGTAATTAAAATATGAGTAATTGGAAAAATAGAGCAATATAAGAAAAAAAAGCTTTAATCGCGAGAAAATCAGATCTAGGAAAGACTAATAATTATGTTGAAAATCACAAGTGTTTGAAAAAGTGTAGATACACATTTTTTGCAAAGTGTTTATTTAATTGAAAAATCTAGAGGCTTTATTTATTGAACGACCTGGCGAGATGAAATTTGATCCGAATCAAGAAACTGGAGAACTAGTATTGCAGCATAAAAGTAGAAGAGCAGCAAGCCATAGAAGAAAATTGCCAAAAATTCGATAATAGAAAAGATGAACGTGAAAATATGTAACAGAAAATCGACAAATACATATATGATCTTAACATAAAAATACAATGTTTAATTAATTTTAATACTAAATTGAAATTCATATTAATATTTGAGTGTACAATTTACCATTCTTATGTAAAGAAATAAAGAAATTTTTATATTATTCAGTTTTACATTAATACTTTATAAATTTGATATTAAAATAAAAACCATCATTAATTCTAATATATTACTAATACAATAAATTATCATAAAATAATTTTTAAACAATTTAATGTAATTTTAGAATTTGAATTACATAATATTCTATTTCTCCATTTTTTAATTGCGTATTCTTAATAATTTCTTCCTCTTCTTCTTCTTCTTCTTCTTCTTCTTCTTCTTGTTCCTTTTTTATCACGGGGAAACGAAATTTCAACAATTTCGATAGTTTTCCATTTGTTTATGACTTTACTTACCTAATCCATGCGAGCCGAGATATCATCTTCATACTTATTTATTCGAAGAATTTAAAGATATCGAACATTAGTACAATATTCTAAAACTTATAATATACGAATTTATACTTCAACAAACATAATTTATATTCAGATTATTAATTATTTTACATTTATTTCTTAATAGATTAATTACAAATGAATAATTATATATTATATTATTAAGCAATTAGAGAATAAGTAAAATTTCAGATTAGATAATCACGAATGTTATGTTATATTTGTAAAAAAATACATAGAATATTATTAAAAAATTCATTACCATTATTCACGATTATTGAAAAAAGTGAACTAAATAATTTGATGATATATAAATTAGTGAGGAATACGTGCGATATTCGTTAAATATTATATCAATTTCAAACAAAATTGATAAATTAGATAAAATAAAATATTATACACATAGATAAAATAATATATAATGCTTAGAAATAAATAGTGTACATTAGAAACGGTACCTTTTTAATTGAATTTTGATTATTTTGCAATTCAAACACAGAGCAGAACAAAACAGAACAATATTAGTCCGAAAATAAAACATATGAAGAAAGAAACATAACGCTCCAACAAATTATAATGAAATGAATTAATATTATTAAATTTATGGTTTTTTTACCAAGGCAAATATAATATTTTATTAACTGCAGAAAAATATTATATTAATTTACAAAAGTTAAAATATGGATTCTATAAAATTTCATTTATAAATAAATGAATATTCGTGATCGAGCAAATTTTTCAAAAATTAGCCACAAGCCCCTCGTGCTTAATTCTTTTACATAATATTAATAATGTTCGATATTGTTTAATTTCTTAATTTATCAATGATCGATCCACGAGTATTTGAAAGAACCCAAGTATGGGTAAGCGTAACAAAATTAATGTCACGTCCATGTCAATGATCATGAGCCCATAACGTTGCGACATTGCTGTGAAGGAAGCATTTCTTGCTTATCATTCATTTTTTCAATTAGCATTATAAAAGAAATTGAAATGTAAAAGCAATTCAATGATATGCCGAGAGCGAACAAATTGAAAGAAATCGAGCCTTGCTAAAATTAAATATTATTATACTATAGGCATATTATACATGTTGAATGCATTAAACTTTGGTAAACAGTTGTTCAATTAGAACATATAGATTAAAGAGATCAAAGTTTTAAATAAATTAGCGTGCATATAGATTTTTTTTGTATAAGGTCCAAGATAAAATAATAGGATTCTATGTATTTATGAGAGGGAATGCAGAGGCCATAATTCGAATTCTGATGCTTAGATGAAGAATATTTATGCGGGCATCTATATGTACATCGTTGAAATATTTATATGTGTTTGACATATTCAAATATTTGTATCATTTAAATAAAATCAGCCGTCTAAGCAGATTAAAATGTCGGTGAATTTTTTTGGGAATTAAATGGGTGTGTGGTCGGGTGTGCAGGCGGCAAGCAGTCGGTAATTAATAATCGTACGTAAGCGAGTGTAATTAGGAGGAAACGTTAGGTTGAGTAATAATTTTAAAAGCAGTATTAGTAGTAATAACCTAGCAGATGCATTGCAATGAATCATGATCAGGGCGAGCGGGACAGGAAGAGGGACCGGGAAACGAGAGAGAGAGAGAGAGAGAGAGAGAGAGAGAGAGAGAGAGGGAGAGGGAGAAGAGACCGCGAGGGCATGTATGCGTGAATGCGTGCATTTTGTGTGTCGGTCGTTGATTCGTCCAATTCGCCGATGTTGCGTCGCCGGGCTCCATAGCGGCGTCGCACAGGTAGAACTTTACGACACCGTCGCCACGACAAATCGCGTGTCATCGATGAATTTTCTGTTAAGGGGTCACTGTTGCGAGAAGCCAACAGCGCTACAACGAGCCCGACGACTCGCTGCAAACGTGCGATAAAAAGTTTGCTGCCCTCGTGCAAACTTTCCGGCAAATTGTCACGTGTCCCTCACCGATATGTTTCGTTCTCTCACATCTTTTTGACTTTTATTTATTTATGTTCCGCCGCATCGCTGCTACATCTCCACCCCCCCCCCCCCCCCCC